TCTCTCTCTCTCTCTCTCTCTCTCTCTCTCGTAGTCTGCTGATGCAGTGAAGTCAGATAGCGAGAGGGTGAGAGGGAGATGGTGGACTGAGAAGACGAAGAAGAAGAACTCTCTCTCTCTCACGTGCCAGGTACTAACCTGTGAAGTTCGCGCTGTGCTGCAGGTACCTCAAAGACGAAGCTGGAGCTATGGCGCTGCAGGTAAGTCTCCCTGGCCTCCGCCCAATCTCTCTCTCTTTCCGGTACTACTCTAGCTCCTACTAGTGCCCAGCACTGAAGACTACTGCTAACGCTACTAGCGCCCAGCCCTGAAGACTACTGCTAGTGCTACTACGACTCCTGCAGCGTTCCTCCAGAGTGCTGCTGCCGAATCCTGAAGACTACCTCCTGCCTCCTGAACTGCATGTGAAGTGCCTGGGAAGTACCTAGGAACTACCTGCAGCCTGCAGGGCGGGCCAGTCTTATATAGTGCTGGGCCGTCCAGGAGGCTGCTCTTGCCAATGCCAAAACGTGCCCGACCCTGGGGTTGAAGCTCAAACAAAGGTTGTCTTGAAAATACGCCAAAAATGGCCTGAGCTAAAACCCTGGCCTGGTGCCTGAGTTTCAGGGCAGGTCGATCTTACGAGGGCCTGAAAATGGCCCTCAGTTTCAGGCTGAAAAGACTCAGGGCCGGAAAGGCCCTGATTTAGGCTGAAACGACACAGGGCCTGTAGGCCCTTGTTTTCAGGCTTTCAGGCTGAAAACAACACGGGGCCTGTATGCCCTTGTTTCAGGCTTTCAGGTTGAAAACAACACGGGCCTGAAAAATGGCCCATGCAGCCTGTTGCAGGCTCAGCATGTAACTCTCTCTCTCTCTCTCTCTCTCTCTCTCTCTCTCTCTCTCCAAGAAAGACTGCAACATAAGAAGACGACAAACAAAGTCCGAAGAAGAAGAAGAAGAAGAGGCGGTGGACGAAGAAGAGAGAACAAGAAGAAGAAAAAGAAGGGAAGGAAAAATAAAAGAAGATTGAGAAGAAGACACCTACCTGCTTCCTCCAGTGACGATGTCATCGCCAACGGAAGGGATGGCGGAAGGCAGCACACCAACAACAGCAACCATGTTTACAATGACGGAGACGATGAGGACTATGGAGATGATGAAGGCAAGTGCAAAAGTTGACGACAACATAGTTTTTTCCGGATTTTTTGGACTTTTTTTCCTTCCTCTTAAGAGGGACCTTACCTGGCCCTTGCCCGGCCGGGTCCGCCCCAGAAACCAAGGTGATCCAGGCAGCCAGGTTGGTACCACAGGTAGAAAGAGGTTACCCCTTCCAAGGAAGAGAGCAGGGGCATACAGCTGACATAGGGAGGTAGTGACAATACCTAACAATATACAGGGCTCTTCGGAGTCCGGCAATTGGAACGAGAACAGTCGTAAACAAAAGAGGGAGTGTGCAAATACAGAACGTACGCAAATATGCAGAAATTGAGGGCAAATGCAGAAAATGAGGGAGAATGGATGGATGTCAGAGGTACCCAATAGTAACAGCTAATATACAAAGGCCATGTAGGCGCCAGTCGTTCTATTCTTTTTTAAAAGAACCAAAGATAGGCTTGTCATAAAAAATAAACAAATGATAATAAAGAAGTTAAAAAACTTAATAAAAAGATTCCTCGTTGCGAATCTGTGGCAAAGCTATGAACAGATGCAAGAAATCCCGAACGAAAAAAAAAAAAAAAAAAAAAAAAAAAAGTACCTAAGAGACTGAATAAAAAAGTAACAATGTTTAGAAAGAAGGCCCAAGAATTCAACCGAAATAAAATGACTGAATTAATACAAGCTGTAGCTAAAAATACCCAAGGCATCAAAGATGCATTTTATACAGGATCCCAAAACCACCAACCGCCCCAACCTAGCTCATGATAAGCCCACCAACTTCCCAGTGCTATTCCACTAGTTAAAAAAAACACCAGCACGTTAAAATCCAAATTCGTATCAGTTGATTCAGTTTCCAATAGGCACTTCCAAGAGGTCGTGTTAAGATTTCATAAAGATAAAGAGTAAGAAATTACTAAGAAGAATCAATTGCCCGAGTATTGCTTCTTCACTGAATCTTCAGCTAATTTTGCGCTTCATGCCTTTTCCCCACTTCCGGAACTATTGCGTTTGTGTATCGAAAGTTTTTACTATATCGGAAAAAAAAAAAGAAAAAAAAAAAAGTTTTTACTACGTTTTATTTAAAGAAACAGTTGACTTTGTTCACGAGACCGAAAATTTCCCCCCCCTCTCAATCCCAAGACTCTCCAGTTTGCTGTCGATACAGCGAGAGCTGAGCCAGGTAATTCTTTTAAACTTTCTTTTTTCTCTTTCTTTTCACAAAAATCCGGCTTGCGGCGGTAATTGCCAGGTGATGTTAACTTCAAACACATGCGTTCTTATCTCAAGGTGCAGTGCAGTGCGCAACGAAGAAAGTCGATTCTAGTGCGGCGGAATCGACCTCAATTTGCAGACCCCACTACCGAGAGCACTTGATCATCATTGTGAGAGGCCCGGGGGGTGGGTGTTGGGCGGGGAGGAGCGAAGAGCAGCTGTGGAGGAGGAGGAAGAGGGGGGGGAGGGGGGGGAGGGGGCTGTTTGCGCCGTAATTCTTTTGTGATAAATTCTGAAAAAGAGACAAAGAGTCAAGTTAGTTGGCGTAGGGAAAAGAACCTTCGCGTACTTGGTGAGAATCGTGAATGCCGGCCTTCAGTGCCGCACCGAGCATACTCTGGCATTGCGGAGGTCGTTTGAAAAACAGCTTGATGCACGCCGTAAGCATCTCCAGGCGGACCTGCCAAAGTGAATCACAGCCGTCAGATGGATTGATCACTCCTCTTCAGATTTCTTATCAACCTCTCCCGTTCACTCAGCTTTCCAAAGATGAGGTTGAGTGTTCAAATCCCACCAGATTGATCCATCACTCCCCTTCAGACTGATCGACCATTATCGAGGCTGAGGTTGAGGGTTCAAATCCTTTTGACATTCAGGTGCCTCTTTTCGCCAGAACAGACTTGAACCCGCAGTACGTTTCCCAGCCCTTTCCCTACCTTGTGGCAGTGCTCTCGCCGCGTTGACGAGATGTGCCGACCTGCCGCTCCGCAACAGATATATCAAGGCAAGGCAGGTCGTGCACACCATGCATTTTTCCTGGATGTATGTCTTGTGAAGCTGCAGCCCAGTAAATCCCATCAGACGCAGCGCGAGGACTGCCGCGTCGTAGAAAAATGGCTGGGAAACGTACTCGTGGTTTAGCTAAATCCCGTAACATGAAAGCCAAACAGAATTTGCAGCAGGCAGTCGAGGACTCTAATGTAAACCAAGGTCCAAACCGCATTCCAAAATCAATTGTAACGCCCATGATCCACGCACAATCCACGACTGTGAACCAAACAGAATTTGCAGCAGGCAGTCCAGGACTCTAACGTAAACCAAGGTCCAAACTACATTCCAAAATCAATTCCAAGGCCCATGATCCATGCACAGTCCATGACAGTGAACCAAGGTCCAATGGACATTCCCATGCCCTGAACAAAGCGTACACGCCACCTTCTAAGGGTATGAACCAAGGTCCAAACCACATTCACAGGCTGTGAACCAAGCTCCAAGCCACCTCTTTCCCGATCCCTAAATCTGGTCCAAACCACATTCCAGGACCCTAAACCTGCTCCAAGCCACATTCTAAGACACTACACCAAGGTCCAAATCACTACTCGAGAATCATGCCAAGGTCCAAACCTCACTCCAAGACCCAACCAAGGTCCAAAACACAGTTCAAACCTGGATTACGAGACTCTAAACCACGGTTCAATTGTAATTGACAATACAAGACACTAACCTGTGTTCAAGCCTCAATACAAGGTTCAGACGTGGGTTCAATCCTGGGTTCAATCGACAATACAAGGTCCAAAGCTGGGTTCAATCCACAATACAAGACACTAACCAAGGTTAAATTGTCGTGAACATCGACCCCGAAGGAGATGAAGAATCGCGAAAGGCAGCAGGAGATGGAGGGAAGCACTAAAGCAGAACTGGGACATGACTGTGAACATTGACAAGCCCGCAGTTCAAATCCCGTTTGTGAATGTTTGTAACGTTGTACGTTATTTCCCTTTCCAAAAAGACACATAATTACCTACCTCTGAAATGTCCAACAGGAAAAAAAAAAAAAAAAAGACAGTCCTGCAGCACTTGTCTCTTCTCATCTGCACACTGTTTCTATGCTTTCCTGTGAGACAACTGGAATGTTGCCCCCTGGAATAGATAGGATGTTGCATTTTCTCGTGTGTGTGTGTGTAGGGTGGGTGGTTTTTGTTTTGGGCGGGGGGGAGGGGGGCGCACAGAAATGTCCTTTGGTGAACCTGTTTCATATGGATTGTATATAACACACAAAAAAAGGGGATTGTACAGAGAAGAAAATTTTCATGGCCTCTGCCCATTCAAGG